CTCCCCCCTGGAATCTGCAAGCACACCAGGGTTTATTTTCATTACATTGCCGCGAAACGTTCGAGAAGCCTCCTCAGGCCTATTCTCAGGATGGGGTGGCCTGCAGGTCAGCACTTCTTCTAGCTCTGGAAGCGGAAACCAGAGCTGTGGGTCAGAGATGCTGATGTCCAAACCACAGAGGGAGTGAGGTGAGGACCCTGGGCATCTGCCAGCCGAGCCTGAGACCTTGTTTTCTACATCCCAGTGAAAGGCCTTCTTCGTCTGGTCTAGGAGCCCCAAACTCCCACCCTAACGCCTTGGTCCACACCACACCTTCCTGCAAAATAGAAGCGCACACTTTCTCTCACGGAGTACGCAGCCGGGAGAGTGGTGAGGGCTGGCTTTCTGCTCCACTCAGCCTACGGCCAAGCACCCAGGGCACAGCAGCACAACCTGCACAGTGGCCGTGCCCACTCGCTAAGATTCTGTGCTGGGCTGGTGGGAGTGGTCATTAAGTCCTGGAAAAACACCTGTGGGTTGAAGGTTGGGGTCTGGAAAATTGTGCAAGGAAGAGAGGATGTTCCACAGATTGCTGCCATGGAGGGGAGTTCACTGTTCCAATCCCACAGAAATCCCAAAGAACAGATTTTTTTCTCCCCTGGTGGCTCGAAATGGTGTCTTGTTGGGCCCACAGCTGTGGGATGGGAGACACGGAGCGATGGACTTGGTTACACCATGGGACAGGTTGCAGGCTCCCCAGCCAGACAGACCTGGATTTGAATCCTGTGTGCCCTGTATCGAGCTGTGTCGCCCTGGCACAGCATTGATGCGTCTGGTTTCCAGTCATCAGCTCTTGTCCCCCAGCTGGTGGGGGGGCATTGAACTCTCTCTGAGCCTCGCTTTCTTTATTTGTAAAATGGGAACATTGCAGAGATGTGAAAATGTTGGCAGAGGACTGAGATTTTAGAGGCCCTGCACATGAAAGATGACGGTGGCTTCAAGATGTAGATCAAAATAAAGCAAAGCAAAACCATAAAGTAGGAATAGGAAAATATAGTAAGTTATGATTTTCCTATTGATGAGTATATTGATTCTTTTTAAATTTTTTGAAATCTCGTTTTTTTTGGAAAATTGTTTTTAGTGCTCTTGGTGTTACAAGTATGGGCTTAGGCTGCCTGGTGGGAAGTCACAGGCTGCTGGTTTTATCGTTAACCTTTGCCCTGGGCTCTCACCAAGGTTAGGAGACATACTATGGGCTCAAATAGAAGCTCGTTCTAGAACCTCGTTCTTCCCACATCGTGGCTCTTAACTCAGCACACTGCAATCGCTTACTGACCTGTCCGTCTTCCCCTGGAGACAGTCGGCTCCGTGAGGGCAGGGACCGCGTGGGCTCTGCGTCGTCCTTCTCTCCCCGGCACCCAGCACGCAGCTTGGCGGGGGCATTTCAGTGCACGCCACTGAATAGATGGCTCATCTGGGCTTAGTTCTAAGTGAGCTGTTTGCTGGGTCCTCCAACTGGGGCTCTCTTCTAGGAGGTCTTCCCTTGTGGGGGATGCACACACAGCAGAGGCACAGCGGTGAGAGGCGTGGCTGGAGGAGTGAATAGTGTTCAGATTGTACGTCTCTTCGAATGCTGAGAAAAAGCGTTTAGAAACAGAATTCGACCTATTTTGTGTTTCTCCAGAATTGGAACTCAAAATGGGAGTGGTAAGAAGGTAGATTTGGGCTACTTTGGGGACAAACTTTTTATAATTGTTTCTGTCCACAAATGGAGCAGGCTGCCTCAAAAAACAGTGAGCTCCAAGCACAGGAGGTCAAGCAGAGACTGGCCAATTGCCAGTCAGAAGAGATGATGTGCCAGGGGTTGCTGTGCCTGGGGAACTGTGGACAAGATCACCTCTGTGTGTTCTGTCCTTAGGAGCCGAGAGTAGTCGGTCAAAGGAATGCCTCTTTAGTGTGACCCAGACGGCTTGCGTGTGGAATTGGAGAAGCAAGGCGTGCCTGGGGGTTGTGTCGATAGTCACCTTTGCCCTCTGAGACCTTTCCACACCCTACCCTGCTGGTTGCCTGAGAGGGTGAACTTCATGGACAGGATTCAGTGGCTCCATTGCTCTCTGACTTCCAGTTGTTTGGCCAGTGTTGGGACTAGCCAGAGACAGTGGGGTGATAGAAGGCTAGGAGGGAGGTGGGCAGGGGCTGCATCTGTCACTGAAGCCAGGCTCCTGACGGGCAGCTCCTCGCAGGTCTGACCCCTGCTCCCCCATGCCCCTCTAGTCCTGGGAAGTCGTGCTTCCCCCTGATGCTAGCCCAGGGGTTCTTCACCACCCAAGTTGAGTTTCCCATACCACTGCCCACACGTGTTAAGTAACCCCTTCACTAAACCCTTTCTAACCACCTTCGAGATGCTCTCTTCGAGAACACCATCTACTTTCTGCAGACCGTTAGCATCCCTGACCCTCATTTTCCTCACTTGTAACGAGAGTTTAAGAAATACCTCCCTCGAGGGCTGATAGCTCATGCTGTGAGCCTGAGGTGAGTTGCAGGGAATGCAGACTCCCAGCAGAAGGGCCGGGCACAGCACGCTGGATGCAAGTGTCCTTCTTGCCTTCCTTGTACGGTTGGCAAACTCCCCCTGGGCCTGTCTGACCACACCGCCTCCTTCTGTGGGGGCCTCCAGATCCTCGCCATGCCTGCGCTGGGGGTGTTTCAGGTTGCAGCTATCCCGCTGCCAGCGGCCCCTCTTCAGGGACTTGCTCCTCTGGCTGAGCTGGTCCACACCCGTACCTGCCCCTCCTTTCCAGTGACGTCCCCCTGCTCATGAACAGACTTTCCCTCCCTCGTACTCCCCTCACTTCCTCCCTGCTGAGTGTCTAGCTGGCCCTCCTTGAACCACAGGCCCAGAGGAAGGTGTCTGAGCGCTTCCTCTGTGGGGTCCTGTTGCCTCCCTGCCCAGGGCAGAGCCAGGGGTGACAAAAGCTTGATCATGAAGATGTTAAAAGGGGCCCACTCGGCCCCGTGGCACAGCGGTTGGGTTTGCGAGTTCTGGTTTGGCAGCCCGGGGTTCGCCGGTTCACATGCCTGGCGCTGACCTACTCACCGCTCATCAAGCCATGCTGGGGCAATGGCCCACGTAGAAGAACTAGGACCTACAACTAGGATATACAACTATGTACTGGGGGCTTGGGGAGAAAAAAGAGGAAAACTGGCAACAGATGTTAGCTCAAGGCCAATCTTCCTCAAAAAAAAAAGGAGGGTGCCCACTAAGATGTTTCTTGCTTCAAAATAGACAGTGAAAATAAACAAGGAAATCTTTCCAATTAATGGAAACACTTAAGTTATCTTTCTGTGTTCCAAATGCCCTGTGTTCACCCACACGGGACACAGTCTTCACAGCCACAATCACAGCGTGCATAACGTCTGTGCTGAGCTTTCCCACACGCTCTTATCATAGCTTCTGGTGTTTCCAGCTGGTCTTCCCAGTGGTCACTGTTAGTGACTGTGGAGCATTCACTCAGTAAATTAATAGACATAATTTACGAAGTCTCACCTCTGTTACAGCCCACTTTGCTTGGGGCTCTTAGTTCCTGCCGCTGCATAATTTCCTTAGCACAACTGCCAGCAGCAGGACAACCCCCTGGGAGAGTGTGACTGTGTCCTTAGCTCCTACTGTGGGCCGCCATATTGCTTTCCAAGAAGATGGTCCACACACACTTCTCCAACGGAGTGCAGCCGTAGTAGTTTCAACACCAAGCCACCATGCTGAACATGTTTTTACAAACTTAGTAGGTGAAAAATTGTACCTCAGGGTTGTTTTAATTTGCATTTATTTTGATTATTTTAATGGTAAAATGTTTCCCTATACTTGCTTATTATACATATATATGTATTATATATGTTGTTGTATATTATATGTATACATATTGCATGTTATATGTATGTTTGCCTATTTATTTATTAATGCTTGGATGGTCTGTTCATGTCTTTTGAATTGATTTGTGGGCAGGAGGTATGTGTAATTTTTTTTGGTAATTTGCTAATAATTTTTTGCCCATCATTCATCTTGGTTTTTGGAGTTGAAGAGGACCCTGTCATCCTGCCCTGTTTTAGGCTCTGAGCTGTAGGGTTCACTGTCCCTTGAAAGTAACCCAGTTTCCATATTTTAAAACACAAAGCAGCCATTTTCTCTAACGAGTCTTTTTCTTTCCCAAATGGAGCAGGCTGGTCGTGGCCAAGAGCAGAGCAGGCAGGGTCGGGAGCGTCAGGTCAGACCTGCTCGGTTAGGCCAGAACCACTTGCTAATCAGCCAGCTTGGACAGCCACCGTAGCCTCTTTGAACTTCAGTGTCTTAATTTTAATGTGGCTGAAGTAACCATGATGGAAGTTTAGTGTGAGGGTTGGATGAGGTCACGTGAGCTCCTCAAGCTCACAGGTCAGCATTAGCTGAAGCCGACAGCTTCATTCAGTGTTAAACCCAACTGCTTTTCTGAATTTTGTTTTAAAGTGTTTCCTTTTTAGTGTGGTGTCTTTTTACCCTGCATAAAATAAAGTCATAAATCCAAGCTTAAGTGTAAATATTGGCTGCCTAAACTTAAAATACAGGGCTTAGAGTCTTGATTTGGGGCGTTAAAAAAAAACAGGGTCCGGCCCGGTGGCATAGTGGTTAAGTATGCGCGCTCCACTTTGGCAGCCTGGGCTTCGCAGGTTCGGATCCCAGGCATGAACCGACGCACCGCTCGTCAGGCCATGCTGTGGCGGCGTCCCAAATATATCAAGTAGAGGAAGATGGGTGCAGCTGTTAGCCGAGGGCCAATCTGCATCAGCAAAAAGAGGAGGATTGGCAACAGATGTTAGCTCAAGGACAGTCTTCCTCAAAAAAAAAATAAAATAAATAAAAATTGAAAACAATTTAGAGATCAATTGGGTGTCACCCACTGTGGCTTTGGAGAGCAGGGAAGGTTCTGGTTCAGCCCGTGGACCCCGTGGCGGCCCTTCACGACCTTTGTTGACTTCTTGTCTCACAGGCAGCTTCAGCAGCAGCAGGCAGAATTGGAGGTGCACCAGAGAGACGGGCTGTCATCATACGACTTGTCGCAGGTGAATTTCTGGAAAACTCTCTCCCAACTGGAACTGTCTCCAACCCAATGGACTGAGGACTAAAGACAACCCTTAGCTTGAGCCCCTCAGCCCACAGGTGTATTGCTCCACCCACCCTCTACAGTGCAGGGAGATTTATTTGGTCCCTGGGGGTCTGCTCACTCTTCCATGCAGAACTGAGCCAGGAAGAGGATGAAGCATGTGAAGCCCAGGTGAAGAACTATGAGCCATAGTCAGCCAGTCCTGAGAATGTCAGAGGGCTGATGGAGCTCCACAAGGCTGTGTGTGAGCTCCAGTGCTCAGAAGCCAGCAGGAACATTCTGAACCCGTCCGTCCTCCAGCTTCACAGCCCTTTCTCCTGCCTTTGTCTGTGTCCCTCCTCTCCATACCCTTAGTCCCCCTCTCTTCTCCTCTTCCTCCTTCTCTTCCTGCTGCTTCTGGCACATGGAGAAACTGCAACATGTGTTGGTATGTGGCCTCTCTCATAAATTAAACTTTATGTTCACTTTTCCTGATATTTAAAGTAAGCTGACTATTTTTATTTGTCTCTAAGTAATCAGTGTGACTCCGTCATCCTTTCTGTGACCTCTGGTTCACACCCCCACCCATCTGTTCTGGCCTTTCATACATAGAAAAGCTCCCCACCCTATAAAATGTTCAAGCCTGAAATGCCAGCGATTCCAGAGGGAGGGGGACATGATAAAGGAGAGCTGGTGAGCGCTGGAAGCACACCTTCTGTGCCTCACACGTGGATGTATTGTGTTTTAATGTGCAAACAGGTTCCTGTCCCCAACCTACCAGCCGGAGTTCACGAGGCCGGGAAGTCCGTGGAAAAGGCAGATGCGATCTTTTCCCAGGAAAGGGATCCCCGGTTTGCTGAGATGTTTGCAGGAATCAGTGCATGTAAGTTTCCAAACAGCGCTGAGGTTGTAAGGATGTGGGTTTACAGTTGCTGTCAGCCATCTAGAGGTAGCCACCCTTGAGGGAGAAGGTGCAGAGGGTGAGTCTTCAGTGACTGTCAGAGGCTATAAAAAGAGCACTGAATACAGGAGTCAGATGAGCCTCTACTCCTGGCCTTGCCTCTCACTTACCTGTTACCTGGGGCAAGCAGCCTGGGTTCTCTGACATCTTGTCTTCAAATTTGAGGGTTTGGAATAAATGAGCTCTATTCATCCATAGTGCAGCTTAGTTTTATTAAGCCAAAGACAAGTCCCTGTCAAAAAAAATCTCAGCTTCATCCCTAACGTAGAGAGGACCACATTTTAAAATAAAAATATGCAGTAAAAAAAAAACCTACCCACTGTCCTACCACCTGGATATAATTATCTTTAATTTTTAAAAGTATGTCTTTTCTGTCTTTTTCTACGCATATGAATTCTTTTTGTATATAAAATTGAGTTCATACTGTTTGGTAGCTTAATTTTTTCACTTGATAATTTATTATGAATAATAGTATTTCCAGATCATTAAACAATCTAAATCACTTTTATGGCTTTCGTAGAGTTCCATTATATGGATGTTCCATAATTCACTCAGTGAACCCTCTATGATGGTCACTAGGTTGCCTACCTATGTCCATATTGCTGTTAGAGAAAACGGTGCAGTTCTGAGTTGTCACATGGAACCCATGCATGTAGCTGCCTCGTTCTCCCGCTCAGATTACCACTAAGATTAGCAAAATATAAAACTTAGAAATGTCTTTGGTGGATCCAAAATCCAGAAAAAAGTTTCCATTTTCACATGGTCAAGGAATTTCTGCAAGATACAGTGTAATCAGGATCAGTTGAAGGGAGAACCCAGCTGACTTACCCAAAGGAAGCCTGAGAAATGCTGTAATTGGAAGGGAACCCTGGTAGCATCCTAGTAGGGCTGACGAGCTAGAGACAGTGTGGCTGAGGGGAGGACAGAGAGGCCCCCCAGCAGGTGAAAGAGAGCAAACCTCAACCCTCCTGTTGCCAGCATGTGTGGTGGAAGACCGCAGCTGTCACACCCACCCGGCTGTGGACCTGATGCCAAGAAGGCAAGGAGGGCGCGAGAGCTGCCTTCTGCTGAGAGCAGCGGGTGCAGCACAACACAGTGTCCAGTTGCCAACAGAAAACCTGGTAGCACGACATGGAAGCTCCCTGCAGTTGGTTCCCACTGGCCGTCCACACGTGCCACCCGCCTACATCAGTGTTTCCTCGACTTGTATAGAGAAATACAGTTTCATCCAGCAAGAGGATGTGCTATTGTTGTGGAACATCTAAAAGGTTTTTCTCCTTTCACATAAGCCTGAAATGTTTGACCAGATACCCACAGCATTTCTGGGAAATTCATTTGAATATTATACAAACATAGACGCCTTCCTGTAAAGACGACAAAATAGAAAAAAAAAAAATCAACAGACAAAAAAGAAGGAAAGGAAAATATCCAAAATTTTTCCACCAATCCATCTGCTTTCATATATGGAAACAACAGAAAGACAGTCTCAGATATGCGCCATCTACTTATACTTCCTGGAAAAACTACCTGCAAAAGATTATGCTTGTTTGTGAAATGAGTCAAAATATTAGAACACAGAATAAGTGATAGGTTGGAAAAGCAGTAGTGATTAAAAATGAAACCACCAGCACCTAGAATTAGTATAAAAATTGTTAAAAGATATAAAAGATATTTAAAAAAATGAAAACCAATATCAAATCAATTCAGCAAAGATTCAGACATATTTTAGACTAGGGGTAATAAACTGAAATTTCTCATCACTTTATACTATTTCATCTCTGACATTTGTAGGGAAATATAGCTTCAAGTGTATATAAACATAACCACTAATTCAAGGGGAAAAAAGAAAAGAAGGAAGGATGTCTTACTTCCAAACCACTTCCAGGAAAAGACAAGAAAATTTTTAGCAAATTGCAAAGTGCTCAGAAGAAAAATAGTGAGATGGCAAGAAAGTATGAATATCAAGAGTGATAAAATGAGTTGATGTTCAAGGACTCCTGATTGATAACTTCTGAATAGTATGCTGCCAAAATACAATATAACCAAAACACAACAAAATGCAACTATTTAACCTGAAAGAGCTGGTGGTGGTGATGCCTGCAAACCCAGAAGCAAAGTAGAGGCATCAGTATTGCCAAAGAAAGATTCCAAGCGTTCAGTGGGCAAAGAGGCTTACTTTATAAAAGATAGAGTCTAAAATGAAGATATAAATGTCATGAACAGTGAAACAGGTGAAAGCCAAAATAATTAGAAACACAAGAAGATCCTGATAAAACTAAATTGTAGTAGATTTCAATAGGCCTTTCTTCATCTCTAACAAATCAAGTAGATCAAAATAATAAAATGAAATGAAGAAAGATAGAGAAGATTGAACAATAAAATCAAGGATATTTAATTTTGTACCCTACAAATGTTCTGGAGCAGTTAGAAAAAAATGTGTTTCTTATTTACCCAAACCACCAAAAACTCTTAAATGCATGAGGGAAAGAAAGGCTTGCATTAAGTCTGTAGTCAAGAGAAGTCCCTAAGTCTACCTTACTTCTGCCACTTTTAGCCTCCTCTCTTTCTCCCCAAGATCAAGGCCTTAGGATTGGGTTGGAAATACACACCCAAGTCTGAGCTTCTTTCACCCTGTACGGATTTCCTACTGGGCCCACCGTCACTGCAGCAAAAGCAAATGGACCAGGAAAACTGCTCAGTGCCTCCGGTTTATTAACATGTCACAGAGGTTGTTTACACACGTGGGCAATTCGGCACGTGGTCCCTGAAGCCTGCTCTCTTGGCCCCAAGCCCGTGAGCCTGAGTGTCCATCACTGCTCACATCCACTCGCTTGGCCATCCACCCCTCTGCCTGTCCTCCTACCCTCAAGCCAGAGACAGGTGCAGACATGAGGTCTGTCTAGTCACAAATTAATTGCCACGTAACCAACCTTTATTTCCTTTATTCCAGCTTCTAGTTGCAGGCGGGGATGTTAGGGCTTGTAGGAATAAGATGTGTAGGCATTTTGAGATTCTAGGGAAATGGGAGGGTGCTTCAGAGAGCCCTGGGCACCTCAATTACCAGAGGGAGTGAGAGCGCTCCCATTCCCACTGCTGTTTCTCAAACCGCCAAGGAGAGCGCCCCCTTCCTCTTGTAAGGTCCGAACAGTCCAGCTGAGGGTGGAACCTGTTCCTTCAGCCTCTCTGTGGGTTAGAGCGCAGAGCTCAGTCTTCTAATGACGATTCAGTGGGGCAGAAGAGCGTCGATTATGACGCATCCCAGCTGGGTCTGAGTCTTCGAACTTGCACGAGGAGCCGAGCCTCCCAAAGGAACCCTTGTGGAAGGTCGAGGAACACAGGTCTGGGGCTGCCCCCGGTACGTCGGTCTGTGGGCCATTTCACCACCTGCTGGGTGAGGACAGCAGGTGTGGGCAGAGCACTGGGCCCTCCCTTGCTGGCTCATGACCTTGGACAAGCCGAGCCTCAGTTTTCACACTTTAACAAATGCTTGAAACGTTGAGATGCTGTGTGCTCTGTTATCAGGCGCCGTTCTAAGCACGTCACCTATGTTAACTCATTGCATTCCCACCACAGCCCTATTATTATCGCCATCTTTCATTTGGGGAAACTGAGGCACAGGGAGGTTAAATAACGTGTGCAAGCCACACCCTTAATAAGTGAACAGAGCTGGGGTTCAAGGCCAGGTTGCTGAACATGGAGCCCGTCCTCTCAGCCATTGCTCTCTGCTTCCTTGCACATAAGATGAGATGTGTCATACCCACCCCACGTGCGTGGATGAACTCCATAAAATAGTGTCTGAGGGAGAACTTTCATTTGTTCTTTTCATCTTCCCAGCTCTCGAAAAGGGCCTGCCTTCAGGTGGCCTGTGGCCCAGCCTAGGCATCAGAGCACAGCCTGATGCTCTCACATGCAGGGAAGGCCCCAGGACATGGGCATGCAGAGGCCAGGGCGGAGCAGGCTGCATGAAGACGGGCTGCCCCGAGCATGCGCGCTCCTGCTCGCCTACTCCCACCCCTGCACCTGTTCTCGGGGCTGCCTGCCTGGTGGTCGGAAGGGCAGGGCACCCTCCCATGTGACCCTTGCTCTGGTTTTCCTAGCGGAGAAGAAGTTGATGAGCTCAGCATCTGCAGCAGGAACCCAGCAGATCTACTCCCAAGGAAGCCCATTCCCCCCGGGACACTCGGGAAAGGCCTTCAGGTACATGCCCAGGATGGGGGTGGAGGGGTGGGCAGATGCCCCCTCACCAGGGAAGCTCTGGTCTCAGAGCTCGGTTCTTTGTGCAGCAAATACTGCATACATCAGGTAGTGGTCACCATTCTGCAGGCCCTGGGCCAGCTGAGGTGGCTCTGGTTCTGCCCACGAGCCCTCGATGAGTTGCCATAGATGCGTGGTGTCAGTTACTCTTTCTCGGATGCGAAAGGCACCAGCCACTGTGTTCTGTGCGGTGCCTGCAGGGGAGAAGGGAGTGAGTTGGCCTCAAGCCAGCACCAGGATGGGGCAGAGCTAGGGACACCTGACAAGGTAGCAGGAAGTGCCCCATCTTCTGGTTCCCAGAGGCCACAGCCAGATCCAAGGAACAGAGGATGACAGCCCATTGTGTCTGGGGTCTCAGTCTAAAGGGCCACTCAGGGGTACAGGCAGGGTGTTCAGCCTTCCCCAGGCCTGGCTCTTAGCATCAGGGGCCTCTCGTAGGTCACTGAGGAAGCCTGGACACCACCAGAGGCAAGGCCTGGCCCCAGTGCCTGCTGGGAATCAGGAGCACAGACTGGGGAGAACAGCCAGAACATGCTGGCAAAGCCCAGGAGGCAGGAGTGACGCAGGAGGCTTCAGGTCTGGGAGAAACAGAGCACGAGACTGCGGAGGCTTGTGGGAGAAGAGGGACTTGAGGAAATGGGCTCCTGGAGAGAGTTGGGTGGCAATGGTGTGTGGGGCGGAGTGGAGGAGTGAGGCTGCAGGGGCACTCAGCACAGACAGTCCGGCTGGAGATGCTGAACCTGGGGGGGGGGGGTGTCACAGAAGAGTGAGGTGGGTTGGAGGGCCTCTACGGAGATGGAAAGGTGGCTTGTACCCGGCTGGCTGTGCCAGGAAGGAGTCAGGAGAGGACAGCAGCCCCTGTGGGGAGCCTGGCAGAGGGAAGGAGCTCACTCAGTGCTAGTCCACGGCATGAATGAATTGATGAATGAATGAGTGGAAGGACGCCTGTATGGCCTTAAGCCTGTGGACTGGGCAGAATTTCCTGTCCATCCAAAGGGCCTGAGCTGGTTTGAGTGGGAAGGGGGTGGGGTTGCCCTGAGACTCTAGCAGAGTGGCGTTGCTACACACCTCTAAGCATGGGCTGACCCTGCATCCTGCTGTGGCCTGCTGCCTTGGCCCTGCCTGTCTGCACCCAGGCAGCAGCTGCAGCCCAGAGGCCCTGGGCAGTGCTGGGCACAGAGCCTGCCCCAGCCCCAAGAAGGCCCTGCCTTTCAGCCGGGGCATCTTTCCCAGGGCCACCAACGCTACAGCCGGCTCTCATCAGTCAGTGCTCTGGGAGGGCGCTGAGGGGTGGGGAAGAGGCCCCCACAGAGAACCATGATCAGAAAGGGCCCTCCGAGGTCGTACGTTCGTCAGGAAGGAGAATGGGAAAGGAGTCCTATATCACGTGGGGAAGTGATTTCAGGGAGATGGGAGTGATATTCCCCTTTTACAACTTCTGGGTTAGTGCATGAATGTCTTGACATTCTTGGGTTCTCCCTATTTTACGAGGGACCAGATAGCATAGAAAAAATATTAAAATACAATCAGTAAAATTGTACCCTATCTTCTCTACTGGTCTACAACCTGCCTTTCTTCAAAACCTGGCTGAAACTCCCCTCCCCCAAAGCCTCCGTGTTGAGCCCCATTTCTCTCCGCTGGAGTCACTGGATTCACCTGAGGGCGCCCAGCACTCTCCCTGTGCTGAGCAGTCCCAGGAGGCAGGAGGAAGGGCCTGGAACGAAGTAGAAGTCTCTCCCTCTTCCCATCTTTCATGAGCTTGGTGTGCGATGGGCATAGCTGGAAAAACCTCGCGGAAGATGTGCCCAGCAGTGCACACAGAGCAAAGACAGCGCCAGAGGTGGAGGCTGTGGAGGGACACGCGGGGAGCGCCGTGTGACGCACACAGCCAGCGCCTAATAAAGACGTGTTGAGTTAACTGAAGATTAGCAGTCGGGGGCAGAAGAGGTGAACCGCAGTGTGCTCTGGGTGGCAGGACCAGGCCCGTCCAACAGGCTTCCGCTGACAGGCTCTCCTTTCTGTTTTTAAAACGAACGAACTGACAGCCTGCAGCTTGTTTCCTGAATCCTGAAGCCCTGTAGGGGCCCAAGGGAACAAATTAACCGGAGCACAGAGGAGTGAGTTAACACAGAGACTGGTGTTTGCTCTGAGAAGCTTCTCTCTTCCTGGGAATCTTCTGTTTAGAGCAAGAGACACAGGGGCGGGTTTGGGGCTGGAGAGGAAGAGTGCGGGAGACGCTATGGGGAGAAAGAGGCAAGACTATGCAGCGGTGGATGGAGGGAGCCCTGAAGGGGGAGGAGGAAGACTGGGGCTTGCCACTCATGGGCGTTTTGTCCAGTGACTTCCTGCCTTGGATACAGAGAGAGAGCGCGCGCGAAAGGGGGCCCAGGGCGGGCAGTGGTGGGCCCGGCGTCTCAGGACAAGTGCATTTTCCTCTCTTCCAGCTCCTCCGTGGTGCATGTGCCTGGAGTGAATGATATCCAGTCCTCCTCTTCAACGGGCCAGAACATGTCCCAAATCTCCCGGCAGCTAAACCAGAGTCAGGTGGCGTGGACGGGGAGTCGGCCGCCCTTTCCCGGACAGGTATGGGCTCTGGGAGGGCCCTGCCCCCCGGGTGCCAAGAGGGAGCAGCGCACCTGGGATGTGCTTTCTTCGGATCCTGGCTGTGAGGAGGGGTGAGCGCTCTGGGCTGCAGCTGACCTCCCCAACAACAGCTGGGCGCCCGGGAGCACCGACTGCCCCAGGGGCACTTTGAGGGCTGGGTCCCCAACAGCAGCCTTTTCTCCGTGCAGTCTTGGCCTGGGGGAGCTAGGAGGAAGGGGCGGGCACACAGAGACCCCCCCATCAGGAGCGAGCCCTTCACCACTCTGGAGCTCTGGCTGCCCCTCCCAGGAGTGCGTGAGAACACCCAGCTCCCTGGAGGCACTGTGAAGATGTTGGGCTGAGGGAGCTCTTGGTATTCACGGTGCCAAGGACCCTGTAACTGGAAGCCAGAGGACCCCGATCATTGTTTCCTGGGGGTAACTTCAATCAGACCTTTCCCAAAGGCCCAGGGCCTGAGGCCTGCCATTTCTGGGCCCGCACATGTTGGCCTGACCCAGGCTTTGTGCCCAGGTGGCCAGGAGGGCCACGAGGAGTCACTGTCAGCCCAGAGCAGACTCTGCCACTGCCTGCTGTACCTGCGGGTGGAGTGACTGGTCTGGGGCAGGGGCAGGGACCTGCTGGTGATGCTTCCCATCTCTGCTTTGTCCTGACCGTAGCAAATCCCCTCTCAGTCCAGCAAGACTCAGTCTCCCTTTGGGATTGGAACGAGCCACACCTACCCGGCAGACCCCTCCTCCTACAGCCCTCTCTCCAGCCCGGCTACCTCCTCGCCAAGCGGGAACGCCTACTCCGGTCTTGCCAACAGGACTCCCGGGTTCGGTAGGTGGGGAATGAGGGAAGGAATTCCTGGGAGAGCCACAGAAATGCTTTGTGAACATCCTGAGTCAGGGCCTGAGCCCCAAGCTCCCAGAATCCTGGGACAAATTCTGGAGGATTCCAAGCGCCTCTTCTCTCTGGCTCTGAGAAGACCAGTGGTGTTCCTAAGAGACCGGCTGCTTAGACCCTGGCTTTGTGGAATGCGTTTATCCTTTTCAGGGCCCTGGGACTACATTCCTGTGCGCTGATATCATCTAAATGCTATTTTAACCCTTTATGGCCCTTGGCAAGGTCTTTCAGGTCCCTCAAGTCAAAAACCCTATAGTCTTGTTTCAAAAAACTAGAGGATAGTTGTAGAGATGATCAATTATATAAATAAATTGTGTAAATAGTAAACTGTAAAGTTATCCCTCTCTTTAATATTAAAAGAGGGGTCCCATTACCTTTGAGAACATCTCTCCTAGTGTTGTTAACAAAACCTCAGGCCAAACAGAGTTAGGTAACCAGCTCCTGGGGCGCTTCCCAGAAGCCTTGCTTGCTCACTCTGCGTGTATTTAATGACCCCCTCAGCACCTCCCAGGGCCCAGGCTCCATTTCACACGAGGGGCTCTCAGCGGCCCTGACCCTGGTGAGAGGCCTGAGCTGGTGCCCATCTTCTCACAGTGCTGTCACGGGGGACGTCCCTAGTGGCTCACAGGGCATTTCTCTGCAGAGTGGGTCACTCTGGGTGAGCACAGGCTGAGCCCAAACATCTGAATTTCCATTTCCCAAGTTAAAGGCTTCCATTTAAGCTCTCTGTCAGCCTCAGGGAACATGCCGTGCTACGTCCCTAGCCCATAACCTGGAGTTGTCAGCTGCTCCCCACCCCCACCCCCTCCACTGATAGCAGCACTTCTGTCCCCTCAGCCTGAGGTCTTGGGGACAGCGTTTCCTGACCCTTGTCTGTCCCTCCCCCTGGATTCAGCTGTCCCTCCAGCATTAATCCCATTTACCTGTAGCAGGTTGTCATGTTCAGCCTTTAGATGTCCTTGCCATATCATTCAGTGAAACTGAGTTTGGAGCACAGTGCACATTTCAGGAAGGAAAAGCCCCGTGGCAGTTGCAGTCGAACCAGACAGGAACTCACCTCAGACACCAGCCAGAGGCCAGAGGTCTCAGATTCCCAGCAGAGCTCCCACCTCCCTGTCTCCACATCCAGCTTCCTTACCTGGGTGTGGACAGACCCCCTGCCTCCTCCTGAAGGCGTAGGTACCTAGTCCTTCCTGGAAGCAGGAGGGCACCATCTGGCACTGACCTATTCACAAGCCTTCCTGAGGCCCGTGCCGAGCCCTGGGAAACAAGGGAGGAGATCTGGTCCCGACCCAGAGAAGAGCCTAGTCCAGAGACTGAGGCAAGGGAGACTGACAGCAGACGGCGAGGGGCAGGACAGTGCTGCAGGCTCAGTAGCTGAGGTCTACTGAAGGCAGAGGGTCAGCGGGTCTCATCTCGCAGGGCCAGGAGAGACATTGGAGGAGAGCTGACACCCATCCTAGTAAGGCCCAGGAGCATCTCATCGTAGCCATAACAAGAATGTGGGCAGGCCACCCCTGCCCCAGCAATCCAGGGCTGTTAGCTCTGTGCACTTGTCTAGTCTCCACTAGCAAATGCCAGGCCCTGAGGATAAACGGAGATGAGACACAGGAAGGCCAAGGCCCTGGGCTGAGGCCACTGCACAACTTGATGCCCAAGAACAGAGCCACATGAGTGGGGCTCCAGGCTTAGCAGCCACTTTTACAGTTGCCTTCGAGCTCTCACACTCAGATGATGATGATAATTATGACAGCAGCTGACCCATACTGGCTGCTGGCTACATCCTCCGCGTTTTACACAACTGAATCCACTTAATGCTCGTGACAGCCCAAGGAGGGAGATACCATGATTATTCCCATTTCACAGATAAACAAACGAAGCACAATGGGGTCGGATAACTGCCCACGGCCTCACAACTGGTATGTGGTAGAGTCATGTCTGTGGAGCCAAGATTCGAACCCAGGCAGTGCGATCTGAGTCAGTGCTCCCCTCCGCTACTCCATTCTTAACATCGTCTTCCAGTCCATCACTTACGGTATCTTGGAATTAAGCAGGAACTGGACGTCCCAGCAGAGGTTCCTTGATTTATATTAACGAGAAAGGGCTGGACCCCTTTCAATGAGTGCACAGAAGAGACTATGAAATAGAGAAAGGACGGAGAAGTTCCACGTGGCCTTCCATCAATAGCCCCTTTGTTGACCTTGACACAGCAGTGTGAATAGAACAGGATGCAGGTGGTGTGTGTTTGGAAGCCAGACCGTGGTGGAGTGAGCCGGTGATGAAGTGGGGACAGGAAGCGGAGGAGAGAGAGGGAAGGGATGCTCTGGCTTGAGATGGGGAGGACAACCTTGAGGGGGTGGGTGCAGGAATCGTCTGTGACGAGGAGCCCCCAGGACAGCTACTGTGCAGGCAGAGGAGGCGCATTTCACACCAGGGGAAGAACAGCGGTGTAGAGGGGCCCGGAGAGTAGGGTGGACAGCGTAATCTGTGGTTAAAACAAGCAGCCTCTGCTCCAGAGGGCTTCAAGGAGGTGGAGTCCTGGTGGAGGGGAGGGTGAGCTTCGGTGAAGGTCAGAGAAAAGAGGGTGTGGTTAGGAAGAGGCCTGAGTGGTTTGTGAACAAGGCGGTTGCTCCGGAGCACAGGGGAGGGGTGCAAGGAAGAGGACAGACGAGAATGGGTGAGTGGAGAAGGGACAGAGCAGTGCCCATTAATGGTCAGTTTCATTAATTATTAAATAAACGTAAACCATTAAAACAACCGGCAGTGTTTACATTTGCAGTGGACACACACCCTGGCCCTGTGTGCAGATCTGCGTGGCTTCCAGGGCCTCTCTGAGGGTATGGGCAAGACAGCTGTGCCTTGGGGCCTTGGTTGGGCCTGACGGGTTACAAGCATGGCAGCACCCCCCAGGACCTGGCCCAGCTAGTTGTCCTTGGCCAGACACCTGAGCCCAGAGAGGTCACAAGGTCAATCCTGACAGCCTCTTCTCGCTGCCTGGAGTAGGCAGGGGTTTGGGAGTGCCTGCTGAGCGGACTTGCTGAACATCACCCCGTGGTGGCCCAGGTGGCTGACATCAAGGGGAAGCAAGCATAACGGGTCACTTCTGAACAGTGCTTCACCTTCAGCTGGCCTCTCAGGGTGGCTCTGTGAATTGAGTTCATACACCGAGTGAGAAAATGGCCCTGCCTGGGTCCCAGCCCTTCTGTGACCCACCTGCTGATTTGTTCCACAAGCTTGCGGAGACTATCCAAGGCGTTTCTTCCCTTTCAGGTCTATCAAGCCATCTTGAATTGTGCCACTATTGCGTTTGTGTTTCCAATCTTAGTTTCAATTTCATTTTGACTCAGGTCACAGCAAAAGCCTAGTCGCTTGAAATGCAGCATCCAGAAGCAGAACCAGGAGACCACCCAGTCCGTTTATGGAAGCGGGGCACGGAAACCACACCAGCTTGAACAGGGAAAATTTAACATAAAGATTTTTACCTAATAAAAGGTGGTAAAGGAGGCCCCTGAGGAAGACAGGAGTGGCAAACGTGGGTGTCAGCTTCCACGTCGAGGCTCAGGGAAATGAGACGAGAAAGGAAGACCCTGGAGGAAGAGACCCCACCCCACAAAGCCTGAGATTCTGTTGCTGGAGGTGTGTCTGCCATGGACCTGCCAGTGGTGGACAAACTAGCGAGAGGCGGTGGGCTGCCGTTGGTCACCAGAAGCAGCCTGCCTGCTGGCCAAGAAACTCACTAGAGGGTGCCAGGTAAACCAGAACCGGTCCCAGGAACCCCCCACCAGGTGGCCAAGAGTTTCATGGAGAGTGCCGGCCAGCTGAGCTGGTTTGCATCCCTGGGGTGAGAAAGTTGCTGCAGAGCATGGACAGCTGGGCCCCTGCCCATGGGTGGTGGACACACTGCAGAGGAAAAACTGTGAACCAGAGGAGAACCTCGTCCTCCGCGGCCCTGCTTGTCTCTCCAGCACCCTCTATTGACAAAGCCTGACCTCACATTGGCTGGCACAGGAGGAATGTGTACAGGGTCCAGTTTCTGCATCACAAAACAGGGCAAAGAAGGGTGGATTTAGAGATAGTAGGCGATAAGCTGATAACTGGCAGAGATTTATATGACTTCAGTCCCTGAACTGTTTCTGTTTCAACGACTGCCAGGCCTCTGCTTGTTGATACTACCGTATTCTTTGGAGACTCCTGCATAGGGAGCTAGCGCAAGGATGCTCAGTGAAAGTGGCTCTGCAGGGCTGTGGTGGGCCAGGCTCTCACGCCCTGACTTGCTCTGAGGGTGGCATTCGCGCCCTTGCAGTGCTGGTTCTAAGTGACATTCCCATCTCATCAGTGTGCTTCCAGATCAGATGACATGGTAGCACAGCGTGCCCATTGCTCCTTGTTCACATGTGCTTCTCTGTTTGGGAGGAGGCAGCTGAAGCAGCCCATTCGCGTGTGACTCGAGTCCCAGCAGGCGATGAGGTCAATCAGGTCACAACAGATAGCACTGACCACCCTGGGGAGGATCGTCTTTTACAAGGCTCACGAGACACTTCCCTCCCTTGGCAGAGCCACGTCCATCCCAGCCCACCCCACCCAGCCCAGCAGGCTTACTTTGGAGAGGAAGATTAAAAGAATTGTCATTCCAAACACGTCTGAAGATTCTTTCAGTGAGAAAGAGGACAAATAATCAGTGGGGCACAGTGGGGGGGGGCAGGATCTCAGCAACCTGAGATGTTTGCAGACACCATGCTCCTCATGCTCCCCAGCTCCTGCCCCAAGCTCAGCCCTGTGCATTCCTACCAGCAAATTCTAGAGAATTATAGGCCTTCCCACACCTACTAGTTGGTGATGGAAAGATGAGGTCTTAGCCAGCAATCGTAGGAAATGAGGGATCCTTCTTGCGGGTGCAGTTCCCGGCCTAGAACTACAGGAAGTCCTCTGCCTGG